CCGCTGCGTCATCGCCGACTGCGGCATCAGGGACGGGTGGTACTCGTAGTACGGCTTGCCCTCGGCCTGGCGCATGTCGTTGCCCAGAGACGCACCGGGACAGCTCTGCAGGAAGCAGGTCATGCTGCGGCGGAAGAAGCCGTTGGGGTTGCGCATGCTCAGCAGCTCGCGGTCCTTGCTCTGCGCAAAGATGCGGAAATCGACCGTGGCCACGTCTTGGTTGCGTGCATCAATCACCGACGACCCGTTCTGCATAAATTTCAACACGTCAAACTTCTTGAGCATCTCCTCGCCCAGCTCCGCCTTGATCTGCTCCTCTGTGAATCTGCACTTCTCCTCGATGTCGAGACCGCACAGGTACACGTGGTACTCGGCCTGCCAGCCGGCAAAGCCCGTAATGCCGACCTTGGTGGTGGGCGGCGGCGGCAGGCCCTTGACGCCCGACACCTTGACCTGGTCCTCACCAATCTGTTCAAATTTGATGTCCTCGAGCCACGCCGTAACGTCGCAGTTGTAGTACTGCGGGCCCTGGATCTCGTACAGAAGCTGCGATGTGCACGAGTTGACCGTCATGACACCGCCCCGGTTCTTCTCCTTGTACATGACACCCTCGCCCTTGTGGTCGATGGCGCAGATCGGGAAGCCCATGTCAATGTGCTTCCCGGCCTTCATGATCGACTTGAAGTCCGAGCAGTAGCCGCCGACCACGTACGAGGCGCACTCTAGGAGATGGCCAATAATCAGCGAGCCCGCAAGCTCGTCGAACTGGTTGGCCTTCCAGCCGTGCCACCAGGCGGCAGCACCGATAATGGGCGAGGCGTCCGAGACACGACCGCAGATGACAATGTCGGCACCCTCGGTCAGGGCGCGAGCAATGCCCAGGCCACCCTGGTAGCACTGTGCGCATACGGGTTCCAGGCCCCACTCCTCGAGGGACTTGTTGTGCATCAGACTGCGGAACTGCTCGCCCTTCTCAATCAGGTTCTTGACTGAGCCGGTGACGTCGTCACCCTCAATCCAGGCCACTTTGAGGTTGTAACCCTTCTCAGTGACCTTGGCCTGCACAATCTTGGCCAGGATTTCCGTGTCCGAGGCACCGGCGTTGACAGCCAGGCGGACCTTGTTCTTGGCTAGGTACTCAATGGCGGGCTCGAAGCAGTCCAAAAAGTTCTCGGCAAACATGGCGTTGCGGACCTCCTCTTCCCAAGTCAGCTCCTTGCCGGCGTTGGCGTTCTGGTTGCGCACCCTGGCCGTGCCGTGCATGGTCATGGTCATCTCCGAGAGCCAGTCACCGACTATGACGTCGACATCCTCGTAGCGAGCCAGCGACTCGATGGCACGGACACGATCAGAGAAACCGCCCGACGCACCGGCCACGCGGACGGGGCGCTTGGGCTCAACAGATCCCATTGTGATATGAGCGCGTATGCGGTCAAGTTTAGTAGTTTGGTGAGAGGAACGGAAAGGACGCTTCGTGTCGTGAGGTTGGGTTATGGGAGATTGTCCTGAAGAGAAGAACAACATAAACAAACAATGCCGTGCAGAGAAGGATGGCACCTCATGTTTATATGTGTCCTCCCATCATGACTTCATGAACTTTAGTACCCGCCGTCTCCGCGTCTTCTTTACCCCTTATTCCTCCTCTCCTCATTCACGAAAGGCCGGTTCTGAAGCACTTACTTCACATACCCGCTGCGCCCGCCTCCACCCCGCTAGAGACCTCCAATTCCCCTTCAGAAACCCCATTGTCTTGGCCCGAAATGGTCATTGTGTTCGGTCTGGGGCAACGAGGGGGGGCACCGATACTCCGGGTTGCCGCTAGGGCCTGCCTTTCGGCCAAACATATCCGGGGGTGACGTGAGTTTTGGGGTCGAGCCAATGGCCACGCGAGTCAATAGCGCTGTCTGTTGGTGCGTGCTAGCAACAGCTTTGGCGGGGCGTCGATAAGACCCAGTCTGGGACTTACAAGGGCGACAGGGAACCGAAGATGGAGTAGCCTCACTTGTCCGTTTTATCTCATAACTGACCACCTTGAAGTCAGAGTCATGGGATGCTTCAGGGACTTAGAGCGGGACTTGGAGCGGCTCTAGTGGCAGCTCGGAATCTCGGGCTAAGCCCGGATTAACCAGTACCCAGAGACACATGGCCGGGAGGAGCGCTAGATGGATGCGATGCATACTTCCTAGACGAAGAGAGTGTAGAACGAAGAGGTCTTGCGGGCGAGATGCTGTGTGGTCCCTAAAGTATCGTCTCCGTGTTGGCGTTTTCAGTTTTCGAAGCATTTTGGGCCCTGGTGTGATAGTTGGATGTACTTGAATGGCGCGGTACCGGATAATGAATTTCCTGGCGCCATATAAGACGGAAATATCTCTTCCATCATCTTTCCGGAAAGGAAAACGAGCATCCAAAGCATTGTGGTCGACGCCGGAGGAGAGTCACGGGGTCACAACCCAGTAGTGTCGAGTAAGTGCGGATGTTGTATCTGCTGGGCTTGCCTTTCGATGTGCCAACACAACCATATTTGCCAGCCGAACAGTCGTTACCTCATGGTCGGTGTTCCATCTCTTGAAGACCAGCAACGCATAATATATTAGCTTTCCTGCGATCCTGCGGTATCGTCAGTATGTGTGCAAGTAGGACAGCTCTGCAGTCATTTAGGTCATGTTCAACTACCTTTCGGCCTCCGCTATAGGTCAAGGTTGCGGCAGTAGTTCCCAGCCGGCTCATTGATCAAGAATGAGTTTGTCGACAAAAGATGCGAAAACCCGAGAAAATCCACGGCCAAATATTCAGGGGTATACACGATTACGACTCAATTTTTCTTGCGGAAAGAGCTTTCAGTAGACTGACAACTCGAAGCGGAAGGAGCTACCTTTGACCATCGTATTACCGCAAGCACGCCCTGAAAACACAACAAACGTAAGTCGAGGCAAGTGCAACCAACATGGCTTCGGTCATTCCCACGTACTTCATTCGCACGCGATCTTATATGACTACGCAATAGCTTACTTGCTTCAGACCAGCTTTAACCTCACCCTTCATCTGCGTGGAGTTCTTGGCACAAGATGTAGCCAGACTATGTTGTCGCTGTGAGCACTCGTCTGCGTTTTAGCCGTGGAACGCCAAGACCAGCTATACGCTCCCCTGATCACCACGGCTTCACGTCAAATAGATATAAGGTTTCTGTCGCCTGTAAGTTTGCGGTGGCATTTTGGACCTCAAGATAATAGTGCCCCACCGTGGCGATCAAAGTGACGCGGCTCGCATTGGCCTGCCATGTAAATGTCTCTGTCGGTAATGTCCGCAATGTCTTCACGATGTTGCACGAAACGGACAGGGGCTGATAAGGACAACCAAATACGCACGAGAACCCGACAACGCAATAGTCGCTTGTATGTCGTTTGCCTCCTGGTTTATGCTGCGTAATGGCGCAACGATGGATTTCGTCCGAAGTTTGGAGCAGTGTTCTGCGGCTCTGCCTGCCATATAAACGCAGTTGCGGTCCAGCTTTTCATCACAATGTTTTTCTTCCCTTCTCCTGTATTCCCCTTTTTTGGCTCGTTTTCTTCAGTCTCTACCTCTTGTCTTATTATACTTATTTTAATTTCATCTGCTCGACAGGTTCGACAGTCATTCCATTCTTTTACGTACTTCGTTTTCTTTCACTCTTCACGATGCTCGCCAAGACCGTTATTATTGCTGCCATTGCAGCCATTGTCGAAGCCCGTTTCGGGCAGGAAGGGGCCATCCAGGCCACCATCCAGGGCCTCAGCACTTTTGGTCAGCCCGGTCAAGCCGCCACGCTGGCCGGCCAGACCCCGGGTGTCCTCCTCGCCGGCGCCAACGCGTGTGCAAAGGTATATTCCTGGTCCTATTAACATACTTTATATTGTTCACTCTGACAATGGCAGCTCGACCTCGCCGACCAGATTGTGACGGCGCTCGGCAACGACGCCGCTGTTGTCGCGGCTGCGGCCCAGCTCGTCGGCGCCGAGAAGAACTTTAACCCGTCGGCTCAGTCGATCCCAACACTGTGCTCGGACGCCACGCTGCCGGCGACGGAGGCTCTGCGCGGCATTGTGCCGCTCGTGGATCCGGCGGTGACGGGCTCGGAGGTGGAGAACGCCAACGCGGCGAAGTCGCTCCAGACGCCGTTCAACGCCAACGGCCTGAGCGTGGCTGACGTGGCCAAGGCGCAAGGCTTCTCCAACTTCACCGCCCAGGCCAACGCCTAAGCGTGCCGCCGGTATGGTGAGAAGACGTGCCAAACGGATGAAGCTGCTTTTGCTGTATACCTAAATTGTGCGGTCGCTTTCTCTTTGGGCATTTCGCACTGTGGACATTTACATAGGAACCGCCATAGCAGACCGTAGTCCTGCCAATAAATGCAACGTCTGGACACAGAACATGACTATTGTTTCTTTTTATGAAATGAGACACGATAAGACTCGATGAATTCTGCATTTTCTCATTGTCGGCCGTTGCCGCCGTGCTTCAATATATCTTCGCGGTATTCAAAACACTTCCAGACTTCGAGCACAGTGCTCCACCACCCAAATAGGAAATTTGTTGATGGTAGTACCGTGTAATGTGCAAGCAGTTCTGACGTCACAATAATCCACACTGTGTGAGGTGTGCCTTCCCAAGTTGTGCAAATCAGGCCACAAGGTGCCTGCTGTCTGCGTTGTACAAACAGCAAGGCACGTCGTACTTTGTTCTTTCCCCCACGTATGGGAAGCCTTGATGGCTGAACGGTTTGTCAATCTTTGACAAAATTTTGCCATTTCGACACACCTCTTCACGTTCCCATCGTTCCCTCCATCTCGCCCCCTCGATGAATGACGTGTCAAACCTCGACAATACGACATCGTCGTTAACTTATCGCTTCGCTGCTTTCCCATCGACTGGTGAAGCAGCATCCAGATAATCTTCCACCAGAATATCGATATCGTCAATCAACCGTTGACATCGACGACTCGCCGCATCGCCCGTATCCCGACATGGTCGCCGATACGGAGCTTTACGAGCGCCTCGGCGTCACGTACGATGCGTCCGCCGACCAGATCCGGCGCTCGTACCGCCGCGCAGCGATGCTGTGGCACCCAGACCGCAACCCCGACGACCCCGAAGCCGCCGAGAAATTCAAGGCCTGCCTTGAGGCGTACGAGATTCTATCGAACCCCAACCAGCGCACGCTCTACGATACGTACGGCCTGAGCGGCGTGCTGCGGACGGCCGCCGACCCGGAAATGTCGCCCGAGGCGCAATACGCACAGCCGCCGCCGCAGCCGGCATCGTCGTCAGGCCGCCAATACCGAGAGCGATCGCGACCACAACAGCGACCACCACAGCCCTCGCCGTTTGATGAATTTTTCTCGTCGCGACGTCACTCGTCGTTCCACGACATGTTCAACGACGACTTTTTTAACGATCCCTTTTTCTCGTCCACACGACCGCCGCCTATGCACTCTGACTTCCCCCCTTCGCAAAGGTCCTCCAGACAGGCGCAGTCGCAGTCGCAGTCGCAACAGACACCCCGATTCAGCTTCTCGAGTAGCTTCACGTTTAGCACCAGCAGTAGCAACGGTGGCAGCGGCGGCGGCTCGTACACGACGCACACACAGTCCTGGAACAGCCGCGACGGGCACCAGAGTCGGCGTACGTCCGGCACGATTCGACCGGACGGCGTCCATATCCGGCACGATGATGGCATCGACAGCAACCGACGGGTGGACAACAGCAGACGCAGTTCGCATCGGTCCACCTCTGGCGACGGCTACACGGACAATGACAATGAGGTCCCACAGGCGCGGCAGTCTCAAAGTATGCAGCAGGGCATGGAGAGCCCTTTTAACATGGGCGGTGGGCTCTTCAACCTGTTTGCCAACATGAGCAACATGATGTCATCCTCCTTTGGCAACAACATGTTTGGCGATCGTGATCCCCATGCGAGACAGCAGCAGGGCAGGCAGCGGTGGCAGTAATACAATTTGTTGAAGAGAACTACTTTTGGGGGGGCGATGCACGGTGAGTTTTGGGACACGGTGGATTTGTTTTCTTTTCCATATTTGGAGTCCCGTTTCTATGTCTTCATTGTAATGTGACAACGACTGGTGTTTTGCATTTTAAAGTCAATCTAGCTACCTTTTCCTCTATGTGCCCTATTTTATACCTATTTTTTTTTTATTTCGAAGTGCTTCATATGGAATCGGACCAGATCAAGTCAATTTACATTTGCTTTTTGAGACAAACCGAACTTGATGACTTGGCCACCGGAGAAAATAAATGGTTAAATGGATACGGCGATGGACACCCGCCAGGTGGAGCCTCTTTGGTGCATGAACTCCTCTGCCTCCTCGCGTACTCTTTTTCTCCCATGACTCGTCACAACCCGCCCTAAACCTGTCCTACCCATGTCAGCAAGCCGTGTGCCAGGTCCTTTTACGTCAACAAAATTCCTTTTTTGGCGGTCGTTCCGTGTTGCTGAGCCGTCTTTGCCGCTTTCAACGTCTCTCGTCAACTTCAGCAAGTGCTCTAAGCGTTGTAGTACTGCTGCTTTCCAACATTAATCTACAGTGGGCATCTTTGTTGGTTTTTATACTTGTTTCTTTCTGTATGAAACAACGTCTCATTTTCGTTCAGCGGCTTTCTAGCTGCTCTACAGAATACTGACCTCAAAAGAAACAGATGAAAATCACCATGATGCCAAGTTGGACATCCAAAGGTCCAAGAACCTTGGCAGGTCTTGGAAAACTGTTTTCACGGCAGCAACATGAAATATTGACACATAAAAGGGCACCTGCACCAGTGAAACAACTGCTAGACGTCAAAATAACAAAATATCAAAGGCAAACTCCTAGTCCCCAAGCCATACCTCCCTCACAAGACCCACAGTCATATGGCATCACGGCCCATCCGCATAGTTGACAGCAATAATACGAAGACCCACCATGGTGAAGGCGGCGTAGACGGTCGAGGCAGTCTGTAACGAAGTATTATGTGGCATTTTCGGCGGCCAGTTGCAAGATGGACGTGGACTGAGACGGTACCTGCGTTCTTTTCTGGCTCACAGAAAATGCATCGCATTCTCGAATCAACAAATACGCATACCTCTTCCTGAAACAGAGACAGAAACAATAAACATGTTGACATGGCTTCTTCTGCTCTCGGCCCTCTCTCGGGAAGGCACCGCAGCCGACGCAGCATCATCTTCGACTAGTATTCTAATCCCTATGACGGCTAGCAGTCACACAGCGCCGTCTGCAGCACCCTCGATCCCTCCGTTTCCCACGGTCCCAAATGTCCAGAGACCGACAGTGAGGGATGTCTATGATGACGACAATCTGACGAGTCCACGGCTTTGTCGTAACGTCGGCGGAAAGTACAACGATGCTCTCCTGCGCGCAATGAGTAGGCAGTGCCAAATACCTGTTGGAAACGACGCCGTGCAGCTGCCACCATCGTCGTGGTCTCCCTGGAGTCATCCACCGGCATGCTCTGAAGTCAACACAACGACATCGAAGCCAGCTAGCGATACCTTGCGGTTTTGCGTCTATACACACGCCAGCTACGGAGGCGGCATCAGTATTGTGGCAACTCCCGAGACGGCAGCCGGCCTTGCGGCTGTTCTTGACCAAGCCTCCGTTGCCAAAGCGGCACCGCCGATCAATGGTCCTCATCTCAAGATACAACATATTCCGGGGAAGGGCCTGGGAGTGGTGGCCGGACAGGCCATCCCACGTGGCACAGTCCTCCTTCGCGACCACGCTCGTCTTCTCGCTGATGTGCGGTTTCCGCTGCATGTCCGCCGCGCCCAGGGCCAGACGCTGCTGCACAAAGCCGCCGGTCGCCTCCCCGATCCAGACGACGTGCGGAGCCTCAGTCGCAGTGTCAAGGCTAAACCGGGTGAGGCTCGAGGCGTGCTCGAAGAAAACATTCTGAGCACCAACTCGTTTGCGGTCACGGTCGAGGGCTTCGCCTACATGGCCCTCTTTCCAGAGATTGCAGTACGTGGGGAAAAGAACTATAAGTTTTCTCAAGGATGACGTAAATACTAACGCCGTCTTCAGAGAATCAATCATGCGTGCAAGCCAACGTGAGTTGTCGACAACGTCCTTTTTGCTGAATTGTACACCCTGCTCACCCCAATAGTGCCCTGACTCGCTTCAACAACAAGGACTTGACACAACAAGTCGTTGCTTTCCGTGACATTGAGCCAGACGAGGAGATCACCATCAGCTGTAGGTCCACCGTCTTGCCCTCTCGTCTCCTTCTCACTTAATACAACCTCCACATTCTCACAACAGCTTCGAGACACCGACTTTGGCCTTACCCACGACACCCGGCAAGAAACGCTAAAGCGCCGCTGGGGCTTTTCGTGTACATGCGACCTCTGCAGTGGTGGACCCGACGCCACGGCCGCATCGGATGTCCGCCGTCGCCGCGTGACCGCTCTTCGAGCGGAGGTGGTCGCGCACCTCCAGCAAGGCGCCTTTGACACGGCCATTGCCGCCTACGAGGGCGAGCTGTTGAGCCTCGTCCGCACAGAACAGCTAGCCGAGCACATGGGCGAGCACTACGAAGTGTTGGCACGGCTGCACCTGGCCGCGGGAAATCGAACGGCCGCCGCGACCTACGCACAACGGGCACTGGACGAGCTGGAGACGCTTCAGGGAGCAATTGATCCTGGTTCGGTAGCCCGGCCGTCGGGAAACTCGTTAGAAGAGATGAGGGCATTTGTCAAGGCCCTCCGAAGACAGGACGAGCGGCAGAAGAAGCAACAAAAGAAAAGGCCCAAAACGAACAAGAAGGGAAAGCGACAGCAAAACAAACAGAATCAAGGAAAGGGGGGCCAATAAGGGTTCGCCATCCAAGAGTCGGAAGCAAACAACCAAGGCGCGTGGCAATGGATAGAAGATAGACATCGTACGAGAGTGACACAAAGGATCAAAGCTGACGGCAATTCGTTGAAAGCTGCAGAATGCAATTGTTCGGTCCACCTACTGGAGGTCCATCCTAGACAAATGCCTTCCCCTACTTGCTCACTGGCGCCGCGGTCTTGGCCGGAAACCGCAGAGTGTGCTCATAGTGCCAGCCCTCGCGCTTGATGTCCGCCCGCACCTTGTAGTGGTTGTCCGCCACACGCAAATAGTCCAGGTCCATCTCCAGAATCTTGGTCTCCGTCGCGCCAGGCCGAATCTCGCCCCGCAGGCCGAGGAGCGGCTGTGCCAGCTGCGACACGCCGCCCGTGTTGCAAAATGCCACGGCCACTGTGTTCTCGCTGGCCCGCGCCGCCAGGCACGCGCGTATGTAGTCCACCTCGCACTCGGGGTTGACGGCCAGCGACTCGGCGTCGACGTCCTCGTACGGGTCCCAGTACGAGGGGATCAGAATCAGGTCGACGCCGTCGGCAACGAGCGCCCGGAACGCCTCGGGGAACGCCAGGTCCCAGCAGACCAGCATGCCGGCCCGCACAAAGCGGTCGCCCCACTTGAGGGGCGTGTCAAACGCCTTGTGCGGCGGCCAGTCCGTGGTGCTGCCGGCCGACGAGGCGCTCTCCAGCGTCGGCGCCGTCAAGTGGCCCCGCTCCGTGTGCCACAGATTCGTCTTCTGGTAGCGGTTGAGCACCTTGCCCGTGCCGGCCTCGACAAAGAAGGCCATGTTGCGCAGCTCGAGCGTGCCACTGCTCGTGTCGTCGGGCGCCGTCGTGACGAGCGTCGTGCCACTCGCAGGGTCGGCCGTGGTGGTGTGCGCCTCGACAATGGTGCCGGGGACAATGTTGATGTTGAGCTCACGCGCGAGGTCCTGGTAGCGGCTGAGAATCGCGCCGGACGCGGCGCTGGCACTGACAAACTCCGGGTGGTTCGGCACCCACGAGGTCAAGTGGAACTCGGGCAGAAGGGCAATGTCCGCGCCCGCAGCAGCCGCCTTGCGGATCTCATCGGCAGCATACTTGAAGTTGGCCTCGATGTCGATAGGCTGGACGGACGTGAGCATACTGGATGACAAATACGTCACAGGAGCGACTCACCTTTGGCTGGAATTGGATAATGGCAATCTTGTAGATGGGCGCCATGATGAAAACCCAGACCGGATCGTGTTGGGAATGAAAGACGTTCGAAGTGGATGAGAGCAACAATTATAAAATACAAACGCTTTGCTGTGGCCGTTCTTTTTGACGTTGGAGATCAGCGCTCTTGCCACTAGCAGTGTTGAATGACGCTGGTGTAATACCCCACGAAGAGATAGTTTAGGGAAGGTGCCGACGGTGCGTTCTTGACAAAATGGACCGGTCTTTCTACCTCCCTTTTGTACACAACAAGATGCCCATAACGGAAAGAACACCTCGCCGACGTCGGTCGAGAGCACAATACGACACACGAAGGCAAGGCAAGAGCCAACGACACTTTCTTCCTTCCTCGCGGATGCACAGCGCACAAGCAGCCCAAGCTCTTGGCATCGGATCTCAGCTTTCTGCCAATCATCTCGTCGTGCAGAATTCTTCAGTGCAGTCGCGGCTTTGTTCACGACGGTCGAGGTACCCCTCCTTTGCTTGCTTTTCCAATCGGAGGCTTTTCAGTCCGAATGCCCGTCGCTCCCAGACCGCGGCTGAACGAAATCCAACTGCTGCAGGTGGAAAATCGGACAACAAACGCTTTCCATGTCCCAAACGCCAAAGAGCAAAACAATCCAAAAGTTTGACGATGCGAGGAACAAATACGGGCAGAACGGCGTACAGCGTCACAGAAACGGTTGCCGAGGACATTGCCTGGGCAGGCAATCCAAGCCAGGTACGATCAGCTCCTCGTCCGGCTCAAACGTTTAGCGCTGCTCGTAGGCTGATATCAAGATCACATCACTAATCACGGTTTGTCTTTAACTGTAGTCCTAACGCTGTTTATCATTTCTATCGTAAATATCATGCAACTCCTGGACCATGCTGCGCTCGAATCGTCTCTCGTTCGAAATTGGAGACAAACGAGTCGCCCATGCATCGTCCGTCCTCTTCCTCTCTCACAGTCCGTCTGTGAAAAAAGCAATTGTGTAAGTTTTGTACCGATCGCCCCATGTAATATGCAAAATGCGCAAAATGCCCCTCCCAAATAAACGCCACGGATCTTACACCGGAATGAAAAGGGGGACAGAAAGAGAGAGAAAGAGAGAGAGAGAGAATTCGGGCAGACGGCTCGACAGCAAGGAGGAAAGTCCTTGACGGGAAGATCCTTCTTACAGGATCGTGCCGAAGCCAAAGGTCAGCTTGATGCTGCGCACATAGTACTCGCTCCAGTTGCGCTTCGTCACCTCCTCCTGGCCCACGGGCACGCCACTCCACTCGACGCGCATGACGGTCACGCTGTCGACGTCGTTCTGGTCAAAGTCGATGCGGAGCGTCGAGTAGTGGCCGGCCGGCCACTGCTTGAGGCGCCAGCTCTGCACAATGTGCGTGGGCTCCTTGAGCTCGACGTAGGCGCCGGCGACGTTGCCGTCAAACAGCTCAAACTTGCCGCCGACCTTGGCGCCCTCAAACAGGCGCGGCGGGGCGCGCGTGAAGGCGGCGATGCGCTGCGGGTCCGTAAACGTCTGGTAGAGCTGGTCGGCCGTGGTGCGGAACTCTTCCTGGTCCGTAACCGTGGTGGTGTTGATGGTCTGGCCGCCCGTCGTCTGGGAGACCGACGACGACGCATCCGCTCCTGCCTTGGCGGCGGCGGCGCCGGTGGGCGGGTGGTACTTGGGGGTGGTGAAGCCGCTCGACGGGTTGGCGCCGGGGGCGTGCTGGATGTCCTTGCCGTGCTCGGCCACCAGAGCGCCGGCCAGCTTGATCAGTGTCGTGCGCAGCTGCGGCACCAGCTGGCTGCGGACCAGGTCCTTGACGGGCTGCTTGCCCTTGCTGTCCGAGTAAATGTCAATCTCAAACACAAACTCGTCCTCTTCGGTGTCGTGGGCGACCTCGGGGATCGTGATGGAGCCGCTGACGTCGTCCTCGCCCGGCGCGGCGCCCGTGTATTCCAGCACGAGCTTCACGTCATAGATCGTAATGACCTTGCCCTTGCGCTGGCTGACGTCGACGTCGCCCTCGGAGCTGATGACCTTGGAGATGCGTGCGTTGACGTCGCCCTGCTCGGCGCTCAGCTTGGTCAGGTTCTCCTCGAACCACTGCTTGGCCCACGGCGCAGCATCCTTATTGACCCAATGCCAGTTGTTGGGGTTGTGGAGGACCATGGCGACGGTAGGACAGGGTATCAAAAATGAGAGTGGTTATCTGTTTTTTTTGTAAACGGCGGTTAGCTCGGTGAAGCAAGACAATGTGGCAAACGTGCCTCAGTCGATCGAGGAGGGGCCAAAGTCCAGGGAAGCAAAAGATCAGAGATGGCCTGGTGGACCACAGCAAAAGGTTGTCATCAAAGGAAGGGAGTACAAGTCGCCCTATGACTGGTGCCAGCTGATATTCTCATCATACAGAATTGCATTGGAAGGGATGGGCGGTCGAGGGCAGGAGAAGGACGGAAGACGGTGGGATGGGCGAGGCTGCTGGGAGCTCTGGCAAGCTCCGGGTGAAGTGGGTGTCTGCCAACTCACAACTTTGGGTTTGCTGTGGTTTCAAGCCTCAGCAAGGAGATATCAAAAGAGCGGAAAAAGTCAAGGAATGGGAACGGCAAAGTCACGATGACAGGACAATGAAGGCGTCAAGACGACGAAGCAGGGACCGAGTGGTGGGTGGAGCAATGAAAACATGCCTGGGAGGAAGAGAGGAAGAGAAAGGGGGAGGGAGACGGAGAGAAAAGGAAGGGATTGGTAGAGAACTGGTGAGAGGAGGAAACCAGACAGCGACGGAGAGGACAGAAATGCATGGAACATCCGCGAAAAGTTTCCATGGTCTGTTTTTACAGCGGGGGCCCGGACCCGCGCAGCCAGACTGCAAATATCTTAGCGGGAATTGGCACCAGATTGGGGCATTTTGTGTGCTGGCAGAATTTCGGTGGGCCGGACCCCGCATTCAAGCTGTCTACACCGCCTTCTACTTTGGGCCTCACCCAGCAACTGCAGAGGAGCTTCCAATGAACAAAAGATTTGGCGAGTTGATCTTGGCGAGCTTGACGACGGGAGAAACAGCTCCATTACGCGTGCGTTGGAGGCATTGGAGGCGAGCGGTCAGTCGATTCCAACTGAAACGCCGAATGGGCGCATCCGACTCTACGCAGCTGGTGGAGTGGATGTCAATTGGTGCGCGTGACCGTCTCACGTCAAGCGTCAGAGACATGGGAGCTCCAGCAGCTTCGTTTGAGATGCAATTGACCACGTCCAGTGGCTGTAGAAGGACTTCTTGTCGAGGAGACGGAATTGATGTCCGGAGCGGTTGTCTTTGTGAGCCTCGGGCTTGCCTAGTGACACCTATTTTGACTCGAACACAGGTCAGAAGAACCTCGACGATTGGCCAAAGTGAAGATAAAGTCACAGAACCATCTTCAGCTTTCGGTCATACTTCCCCGACCTCGACTTCCATTGGACATTTGAGGATTCTATGGCGAGAAGCACATGTTGGGAATATGCACTCTACTCTCGGGGCGGCAAGTCGGGCGATGGCTGCCTGGATATTGCTCTCTGATGAAGCCAAAAATAAGACATGAGCTGCCTGGTGTAAATACAGATACCGCGGAGATTACGATTGTCACCACGACGCCCTGTGGTGACCCAATATGAGACCGTATGGTGGTTTGGTCGGCCTGATCGGTGGCCGTCTGCGGGTTGTGCCGTGTCGCGCGTAAGATGGCCTCAAAAGCGGTCGGAAGACAAACAATATGTGGAGAAACTCAGGTTTAATTCTGCTGCTATTTCGAGACTGTCTTGATGGGCGTTTAGGTCTGTTATCCGTAGGACGGGCATATGGCCAAAGAAATATGCATCCCATTTGCTGTCGCGTGGGTGAGCTAACAAAGGTTTTGTAGCATGACTGTCTTGTTTTGTTTCATACCATTTTGCTTCTTCAAGAACCTTGAACAATAATATACGTTTTGAAAACAGGCGTCCGTTTCCTGAAATATATGCGGGCCCGTAACATGGGATGACTGAGAAGGGAGCATATAAAGGCCAAGGGAAATAACTTTAAGTCGTACTTTCTTTCAATATTTTTCGGCCATGCTTTTGACTTTTCTTTTATAAAATAAACAAATGAAATAAATAAAAATAAAATAAAAACCAAGACAGCACAGTTGCAAGTTTATTCTTAAATATACATATTATCCCATCAAGTTGAAATCATTTCCTCCTTGTTTCCATCGTCACTCCATCACCGGGATGGAAGCCAAGCCGAGGCAAGTCCCCATTTGTCGCACTGCCTTTGCCATTTTTTTTTTTTTTTTAAAAAAAAATTCACCTCTTCCTGCGGGACCATCTTTGAACCATCCAAATGTGGCTGCATCCGATGGCCGTCCAACCCCGATCCTTGCAACTCGACTGGCTTCTCGTCCTAATTGCCTCCAACCACTAACATGCCCTCGTTCACATTCTTTCGGAATACCACCAGCTCTTCTGATACAGGGCCCGTCAACACGCCTCCACCAGGACTACTGGATCGGGCCTGGCACGAGGATGCTATTATTATCTCCCTGTCACCAACAGGAACCCCGTCCACCGAGTCCCCACGTTTATTGGGGGCGTCTTTAAACATACATCGCTTTCCGAGATACAAAGTAGATGCTCGACGTATGCTGTATTACATTCCACTCGTCGGGACTGTCTGATTGACCAGCTCTGGGGCCGAGCTCCGGCTGAACCCTGTCATCACACCGATGCCGCCATGGTAGCATTGTCGCCTTAATGCCTCTTCGCTGGAACAACGTACGATAAAGAAACCCGTCCTGAATAAAAACGACCTGCAAAGAATCATACCAACTCGGCCTAGCACTCTGATCCTTCACAATACAGTCCCGGCTAGCGCACCGCAAGTGGCGATGTGATGAAAAGCAAGCAAGCAGAGCAAAGCAGTCAGGCAGTCACTGAAAACAGAAAGCAAAGTCGTACCGAAAAAGAGCACACACCCATCGTGAGCAGAAGCAATCACATCGCCTGCAGCGTGCATGGCTGGTTAAGCGCCGGGCAGGCATCGACCCCACTTCACTGTCACCCACCCCCTACCTCTTCGAGCAGTAGCCTGCCCGCGCCGCCAGCCAATCGTGCTGAGTTCCGCCCACTCTTTCTGAGGATGGAGAAATATGCACGTCGTGCTGTGTTCCTTTGCCAGCAGTTTTCGACGATATTGACGGCTCTTGCCTGCAGTTCTCGCCCGCTAGGGGTGACCCAAGAATAGATTGTTGGCTCTTTCCCCATGGCGTCGCCAATCAGGTGCGGGTTTGGAGAGAAGTCGCGACCCACTTTTCACACATAAGTGTGCTTTGCTTGTTTGTTCTCACTCTGTTGTGCTCCTCTTCATCTCTCCACCAATATTGCGTGAGCATTAATTCTTATTTACAAAAAGTGATCATGGGCTGCAAGCCCAAGGTATGCGGGATGCAGACTCCACCCTTGTGTTGGATTACAGCCAATGTACGACGTACGCCCGGCTGTCACCACATAGGACGAAGATTGACGAGCACAGATGCGGGAAAAAATAACGAGAGCAAGACGAAAGCAGAGCTATCGGCCAGCTGTGACGGTGCGATGCTGTGTTGCACCACAGGTACAAGCTCGGCAAGGGGTTATGGGAGGAGAAGAAGAGGACTGGAGGAAAAACAACCTTGCGCCGTAAACCTTCATCCCGTCTCTTGGGCGAGACACTTGAGACGGGAGTAATTGGGTGTATGTAGAACGCCGTGCCAGACACTACAAAATCGGCATGAATGGGACTTGAACGCAAAGTCAAAGGTGTAAACGAGGCAGAGACGAAGTGGCAGCAGACAGAAAAGAGGCTGGGAAGAGAACCCGGAAAACGAGACAAAAGCAGTTGTGCGTCCCGCCGCCAATCGCGAGGTCCAAGCAGAAGGCCAGGGCCATCGGCCGTGAGCCTGAAGACGATACCGAATACAACCAAATACACCCAGGAAACTGGACGTTCAGTCAAACGACAGACCAGCAAGATAGAATCGTTAGAGCAGTGAGCGACAGATATGCAATTCTCCGTCCAGATAGAGCAAATCGACCCGCCCAACATCACTAACACGGCTGCTTCGTTCCAACAGCCAACAGCCGTCTGCTTCTTGATCTTGCTGCCGGCCGTCGACGGCAAGAAAACGGTCCACCCAGGAAACAGACCCCTGTCATATTGTCTGTGGCCTTCCTATTCTTTCTTTTCTATTTTCTTTTTTTTAATTCTCATTTTTGGTCATTCGTTTCCCATCGCGCATGCCTCGCCGGCCTTGTTCGTTCCTTCCCTCCAACCTTCGTCCCCACCTCCACCTCTGCCTCCTTCCTCGACGGCGTCCCAACAGCATCGACAGGGGTTTGGCTGGCGGCCACTATCGGGGCTTCATCCCTCTCCCTTCTCTCAACTTTCTGCCTCTGCTGTGTCTTCTGGTCTGTCGCCTGTCGCCTATCGCCTGACGACTTTTCTCACAATCCCACGTCTTCTCCACTCCGCTCACTCGAACGCACGCCCTCAACCTTACTTGCACATTGTCCGTTGGTCTCGCCGCGGGAACAATAAGCGGCCAGCCGTGTCTACTCAACAGGCCCCCCCTCCTTTATTTTGATTTATTTCACTCCTCCTTGTCTTTTCTTGGTTCTCTCGTCCCTTGTCGTTCGTCCCCTACCCCAACCCTTGACCGCTGTTGACTTGTGCCGCGGAATAGAGTGACGGAATCGACCACAGCGGCCGCTGCGTCTGTGGGGTCTCAATTTGGGCCAGACCCTTTGCAAAAGAGGCGCTCTCTTCTTACATCCCCGTCACTTTCTTTCTTGGGTTTTATACTCATACTTTCTGTTTTCATAGAGTCTCACAAAAACCACACTCAGTTGCATCCTGCATTCTCTTTGGACCTTGGAACGTTTTTGTCTGTCGTCCCTGCGTGCTGCACTGCTTTCTTCTGTTTCTGTTGTGTCTTCCAGTGTTTGCTTTCTTCCTGTATTTTCTTGTACCTTCCCCTCCCTCCATGTCTCGCCTGACCTTGGTGTCGTCCTCTGTCTTGTACAAGACCATAACCTCCGACTGTCGCGACCTGGCCGGCTGTTTCTGATCTCGCCGCTTTTTCACGACCGCTCATGACCTTTTCTTTGCCTAGCTTCTTCCTCTTCTTAATCCTCACCATTGCTCCTACCATCTCATATACCCACCCCAGCTGAACCTTTCCCCTTGCTCCCATCATCGTTGTCGTCCGCATGGACCGGTGATCGTCTCTCCCTCGCGGAACCCAAGCCGGCGGGTGCACTGCCTCGATTTCCTCGAAACCGACCTGCATCGTCGACCCCAATCTTCACTTCGCCTCGGCGGCCCTCTCACAGCCTCATATCAGACTCATAGTGAGCACCACCGCCTTAAGATGAACACCGGCCGCGACCCAACATCGCGCCTGCGGGCCAACCTCAACCCGCTGCGCACTACGGCCCTCGGCAATGGGTTTCACGGTCCCAACACCACGCCTCTGTCCGCCGTTTCCATGAACCAGACACCTGCCAGCGCCATCCAGCCCTACAACCCACAGCAATGGGCACCGTCACCGGCCCCGGAACGGCACCATTACCAAGAACAACCGCGTGAGTGACTGGGCAGACGGGATATACAGCATACGCTTTTGTTGACTAACATAGGATGCTCGCATCTAGAATCACCTCCTCCACCACCACCATATTCACCACCACGCAGCCAACGGCCCTCGAGCATGGTCTTTGAGACTTCGCCCGCCAACATATCGGCCGCCCGGGCGCCACTGCCGGGCACCCCGAACAACCACCATTTACAACAGGGCCACCAGCGCCCGTCACCAGAGTCTACGACGAGCCAGACGTCGTTTGCACCACCTCCGGGCACAACGCGCGGTGCTTCACGCGAGCGGAGATTTGGCTTGCCGTCGTTTGGCCGTCGGCGCGACTCTGATCAATACCAGCAGCAGAATATCACATTATCACCGTCAGATACCTACACGCATACTCATGCTCACCAGCCCATACCACCACCACCAGCATCTCGGTCGCCGCAACCGCCTCTCCAACACCAGCCACAGCAGCAGCAGCAACAGCAACAGCAACAGCACCAACGATCGCAGCCTCCTTTGCAGCCGCTACAGACCTCCAACTACCACCAGCAGCACCAACAGTCGCAGCAACCCCCAGCCGTGGCGCCTGGCTCCCGTCGTGCCGCTTCTGCCGGTGCTATCGCCACCCCGACGTCGGCAAGGTCACGCTCGTCCTCCCAGGTGCGCTGGGAGGCGGGTATGCCTCTGCCGCCGCCACCACCAGGCCCACCACCTTCGGGCTCACGGTCTCAGAGCATGACCCGGCCTCACCACGGGAGCGATCCTATTGTATCCGGCCCAACGCGTCGTCCGCCGCCCGCAGGTGTCGCTGTCTTGGGCCCCGTTCCACCAACGCCCGCTGGCTGGTTCGACCGTGACCTTGTCGAGCCGGAAAACGAGAACACTGCTGTCCGTGATGGCGATGTCGACAATTATAACGACCCTTACAATGACAATGCCACGCCCCGTCAAGTACCTGATTCGGTGGCCGCCGCCGCCGCCGCCGCTTCTGCTGCTGCCGCCCGCGAAGACCATTCGCCGAACCGTGGTTCGCTCGTCGAGAGCACATCTAGCGCCGCCAGCTCTTCCGCACGCGATCTGGCCGAGTCGGCTCCATCGACCAATTCCACCCATAGCTCGCATTCGCCGTCCGCGACCGTCACCAATGGCACAAATAGCTCGAGTGGTGGCAGCGGCTCGAGCAACTACAATAATATGACGCTCGCACGGACAGGTGCCGTGCGCGGCGGTGAAAAGACGCTGCGGGAACGTCGCAACGAGAGCCGGAACCGGGCCGCCAACAGCGTGCGCAACTCAATCGACGGGGCCGTGAATGCAGGCATCAATGCCGACAGCTCGTCTGGTCCTGGTCACGGCCACGCTCGCCAATTGTCCAACATCGTCATTCCGGCCGCTGGGTCCGTGGGCAGTCTCATGCGCCGGCCTACCATCAACAAGTCCACACCGCGCAGTGGGGGCGGCGGACCGAACAGCGGACGGGCCCTCCTGAGCCTTCAACAACAGCAGGCTTCACCGCGCTCGAGTGATACTGTCACGGGCGGAACCGCCACACCCCCCTTCTCGCCGTACCCTCATTCATCGTCGCCCAACATGAACCGTCCGCACATGGGAAGCATTGCGAGCGGCCTTGCGAACGACGCCAACGCCAACGCCGTCCCGAAAGCGCTCCCCACCCCACCGTTGCGCAGCCGCGCCTCATCGGCTTCGTCCCAGACACGTCGCCAGTCTCAGTCGCCTCCCAACGCCTCTGATGCCACGACGGGAGCAGGCAGTGGTGACACGCTTACGCGAGAGCTGGCCGTCAGTCAGTCGAGCGACCAGTTCTGCCAGGGGTCCGTCGACCGCTTTCATGCCTTTGCTCAGCGCGAAGCGGCCGCCGGTTCTGACGCCGAGCGTGTGCGCCTCTTTGCCGAGTTTATGGTGGCCGAGTCGCGTGTGCGCCGCGAACGGTATGCCGCCGCCATTGGTGCCATGGGCTCCGAAATCTTTGACCTGACCCGCGACTTCTTCCGCCCCATGCTACCCGCTGTAGCCACTGCACCTTTTACTGCCGGTGGTGGCGGCCGTCGTGAGCCTGTCGCGTCTCAGGGTAGCGCCGATGACAGTGCAGGGACCAGCGCCGTCGAATTCACGCCACAGTCGTCCGAGCCCAGTCACTCGCACCGTGGGTCCGTGGCCTCTGTATTCCGCGAGGGGTCGGCGTCGGCACCGCTGGTCGGCCGTGACACAGCCTCCTCGCCTGACGACAACGCCAACTTCGACTCGGCCATTGATAGCAGCAGCACGCCAAACAGCGCCCACTTGCCCATGTCGCCGTCGGGCCCACCACCAGGCTGGGGCGCCCAGGCGAACTACATGCCGAGCCTCTCGCCCATTCTTAGCATGAGCGTCAGCGAACACCCTGACGACAAAAGTTCCCGTGGACGGACGGCCAGCCGCTGGTGGGAGTCGAGCGAGAACGGAGGCGAGGGACGTGACGGGCGCGGTGGTCGGCGTGACGACTCGGGCGACCGGCTGGCCCGCTCCAAACGCGAATCCAAGTACATGGGTGTGCCCAAGGAGGCGCGCGAGGCGCTGCAGTGGACCGACGATCTGCACGAACCATTGAGCGGCCGCAGCGTCCGGAGCCCGCAGTACGTGGACCCGGGCGTTGGCAGTAGTGGTAACGGCGGCCCGGTCAACTATGCCGCATACGAAGGATCGAGCGAGTATCCGCCTGAGAAAGTCCATCACCACCCGCAAGCCGACTACATGGCCTCTCCCGACCCCGTGCGCACACCACAAGCACCGCCAGCACACTTCCGCAACTCGTACCTGTCGTCGACGGCTTCTTCTTCGACACCAGGTCTGTCTACGCCCAACACACCCAACGCGGGCTCGGCATTCCAACAGCCAGGGGCACAACCCTTGCACCAGAACTCCATACCGGCTGCATTGGACGTCTCGCGCCTCGTTACGCTGCCGCCGCCGTACCCACGCCACCATCCAGCTGTCAACAACAACCACCCTGACCTCAGCGAGACGCGCGCGGCTGTGCGCACACTTGCGAGCCTTGGTGACGTTGAGGCGGCCTACGACCAGTGCAAGCGCGCCACAGAGGCTGCGCACATCGAAAGCGACCGGGCTCAGCAACAACAGACAGCCACGATGCGCGCCAACCTCCAGGAGGAGATTGCGAGCGGGCGCATGAGCTACGCAGAGGCGGCCGCAATTGAAGCGGATGCGGCGGCCGCCAACGAAGCGCGCCAAAAGGAGAGCCTCAAGGCCGACTTTGACCGGTTCCAGACGATGGTGGTGCAGCCGGTCAATGAGCTGCTGACGGGCCGGATCGCGCACGCCACGCAGCTGTTTGACGAGCTGCGCAGCCGGCTGTTTGGCGAGACGCGGCAGCCGAGTCCCAACCTGCCGCAGGAAGAGGGTGACGAGCAGCCCGAGCTGCTCGAGACGCTGACGCTGCTCAAGTGGGTTTTTGAGGCGCGCGAGGCCCTGCACCGGGCCATCTACGATCTGCTGACGGAGCGCAACAACCGCTACCGCGACATGGTCCTGGCGCCGTACCGCCGCGCGGGCGACACGGCCGCGGACAAGTTGCGGGACGCCGAAGCGTTTTTCGCGGGCGACGCCGCCACGCGCGCCGCGGCCTTTGCGGCCGAGGCCCTCCAGCGCACCGAGGCGTTCCGCGACGTTGTCGAGGCCAATGTGGTGCGCGGCGTCGAGGTGCAGCTGTCGGCGTTTTGGGACATTGCACCGCCGCTGGCCCAGCTGCTCGACCAAGTGCCCCTGGATCTCACCGGGTTCACCGTGCAGATCCCCGCCGCCGAGTACGAGGAGACGCCCAGCTACCACGAGCACCCGCTGCAGTACCTGTTCTCGCTGCTGTTGCATGCCGAGAAGAGCACGCACCAGTTTATCGAGTCGCAGACCAACCTGCTGTGCCTGCTGCACGAGGTCAAGGAGGCGGCGCTGACGGCCAAGGACCGGACGACGGGGACTGGCGAGGCCAATAGTAGCAGTGGTGCTACGAGCCGTGACGTCGAGAGTGCGCGCCTGACTGACGATCTCAAGGACAAGGTGCGCGTGGTGCAGGGCCAGTGGCGAGCGGGCCTGGGCGAGACGTTTGAGCTGGTCAAGGAGCGTGTTGGCGGATGGCTGCTGGAGACGGGCGGCTGGGACGAGAGCTTGGAAGACGGCGGCGTGGGCGGTGTTTGAGGAGGAAGAGGGGGTGACTATGACTCTTCGTCACTATTTTGTTTGTTGTTTATTTCGCCGGTCTGTTGATACCCTTTGTCAGACGGTTTTCCTTTCTTCTTTTGGACAGCCAATCTCTTGTTCTTCTTTACCCAGCACATCATAACGAGTAATGGACCCGTGGCGATTGGAGAAGGAGATTCATTGTTTATTCTTTTCGTTCGTGGCTATTTGGGGAGTTGTTTCCTACCCTCCCAACTATGTACATAGTTCCTATATACAGACCAAACCAGGTCGTAAGCGATTTTGTTTTGCCATACACTCGCATGTCGACTTTGCTGCCGCGGCACGGCGTTTGTATCATGTGGCTTGTATTACTGTTGCCATGTTCTCGTGGAATTTCTGGATGTGTCCTTCTAAACGTTAGGATATGGGATGTGACGGCCGCAAAAATGCCGTGGGTAGAGCGGAACGCACGTTGTCGAAGGCTTTCCTCGCTGGTCGCGCACTTTGTCGCA